GCCCGGCGAGAGGTGGATCTTTATTGTGGTGGGAAATGGGAGCCACATAACCCCAGGGCTAAGAGTGTAAGTGGAAAGGTAAAGGAAATGTAGTTGGGTATTAGTCAGAAGTCAATGACATAGTCCCAATTCCCTTGTTGATCATAGAGTGGAATTTGAATCCCGTATGTACTTAAATGCACATATAAAGAAAACATTAAATACCTTCAAGTGATAACTAATGTTTATTAAGGTTTTGGGGGTTTTCGTTTGTTCTTTTGAGGTGGAATTGCACTCTGTGACCCAGGCTGGAGTGCAGCGGCACAATCTTGGCTCACTGCAACCTCTGCCTCCTGGGTTTAAACAAGGCCTCAGCCTCCCAAGTAGCTGGGGCTACAGGCACATGCCACTACGCTTGGCTAATTTCTGTATTTTTAGTAGAGACGGGGTTTTGCCATGTTAACCAGGCTGGTCTCAAACTCCTGATCCCAAGTGATCCACCCACCTCGGCCTACCAAAGTGCTGGGATTACTCCCAGTGAGCCTCCGCAACCGGCCTATTAAGTTTTATATACCAGGTACTGTGCTCAGTGTTTTTTTTTCATATTAACTGATTTAAACTCTATTTTATAGATGGAAAATTTTATCTGTTGAGCAATTTGCTCAGAATCACAAAATTCTTAGTTTGCAAAAGGCAGAATTTGAGTCTGGGAATTCTGGCTCTGATACTCCTAGCCACCACACCACCCTGTCCCTCAAAGAAATGATTGGTGTGAATTCAAACAAAACAACTTTAAGACAAAGACAAATTTTAGTGTTTTGAAAATATTTGCATTAAGTTCAACATTATATCTAACATTAAACAGAATCCAATCTTCAAACTAAATTCAGCTACAAAATAAGACCAGGGCTGAACTATACACTACAGTTTTATGCAGAAGGAAAGAGCTAACCCTTGCATTTGTTTCTTCTAGACAGCGTAAGATTGCCCCAGACACCTGAAGACATGGATTTTGGCTGTTTAATTTACTGTATAAATATGATGAGAGACTGCAGCCCTGGCTGCCAATGTAAAGATGGTGCTGATGGAGAGGTGAGGACGCCGCCTACTGGAATAATAGATGGATGCATTATCTTCCTCGGGCTGCTCCTCTGTGACAACACTGATCAATGTAGTGAGTTAGTTAGCAGGGCAACAGTTTATACTTTCCATCACCTAGAGATCGGTGAGATCAGATAAGGAGGGAAAATCCTCTTCTTGGGCCATAGATTGTGCTTTTGACTTCGCTGCAAGTTACAATGGAAAGTCTTTGCCTGAAAAAGAACCATACACGGAAAATGCGATATACTGTAGCAGCAAACCACTCCCAGGCAAGATATAAACCTCAGGGTCCTGTGCACAGAGAACACTCAGCTTGCTCACTAAGTAGGTGTTGTATTGAGGCAGTACATGGATGACTGGTCCCTTTGCTTCCTTCAAATAACCTTTAGCCTAGATCTGCCTGTCAGTGTGCTGACCGCCACAAGAAGAGAAGCAGGGAGTACTGGGATGGGGCAGGGAACTTCTCTCGGGACTGATGTAAAATTTTTTGAGCCTCCCTTTGTTAAAGAGGCTGTGTATGTGCGTCCAGCACCTGCACTTTTAACTTAGGAGCTTAAGAAAAACTCATGTTTTCTTATTCTACTTTGCTTTACTCTATTGTTATTGTTATAGGGTCAGCACCAGTTTGAAAAAAGCAGACCTGTGTAGTACCTATGGCCATATATTCTGTATTTATTCCAGGGGATCCCCTGCTTGATACATAAACACACCCCTCCTTATTCCTGTTCATGGTTTGATTGTCTGATGGTCAGCTTTTTCACTGAAGAAATGAGATTTTTATTGTTTTTAAATTAGGCCTCCTGTCTTTGTTGTACACCTGGCTAAGTATGAATTCTGTCCTCTCGACAGTTTCTTTAATAAGATTCACACATGCAATTCCTATCACTACTAGGAAAACATTTTAACCTATTAATTCTGCATAATCACCAGAAGGCATTACAATATAGATTTAAAATTTATTATTTAGCCTTAGGAATCATGAAGTATGATCATAGGTTTGATTGGCACAATTTGGTCTTGGATTTTGTAATAGGTTGATAACAAGGAAGAGCATTTATTCGGTATTTCTTTTTGAGAATGGTGCTTACTCTAGCCAGGCGTGGTGGCTCATGACTGTAATCCAAGCACTTTGGAGGCCAAGGCGGGAGAATCACCTGAGGTCAGGAGTTCAAGACCAGCCTGACCAACATGGTGAAACCCCATCTTAAAAAAAAAAAAAAGAAAAAAGAAAAAAAGAGAATGGTGCTTACTCTATATAGTGAGATTTCAAGCAATAATCTTGTAACCCTGGTTAGTCACATCTTCCATAGAAAACAGGACAGAGGCATTACAAAGAAAGGCATAAGCTCAGGAATGGCCCATCCTGGGAATAAAACACAAAGTTCAAGGCTCTTTGACTCTAATCACACCTCTACATTCCATGACCTTGCCACTTCTGTCCTCTGAAATCCCATGCTACTTTCTGTTGGCACAAATGAGGTCCTCTCAC